GCGGGCCCGGATTCCAACAAATGGCTTAAAGCCATGAAATCCGAGATAGGATCCATGTATGAAAATAAAGTATGGACTTTGACGGCTTGCCCGATGATCGGCAAGCCATAGAGAATAAGTGGATCTTTAAGAAGAAGACTAACGCGGATGGTAATGTGACCGTCTATAAGGCTCGGCTTGTCGCTAAGGGTTATCGACAAGTTCAAGGGGTTGACTACGATGTCACCTGTAGCAAAGCTGAAGTCCGTCCGAATCATGTTAGCAATTGCCGCATTCTATGATTATGAGATCTGGCAAATGGACGTCAAAACGGCATTCCTTAATGGTTTCCTTAAGGAAGAATTGTATATGTTGCAGCCGGAAGGTTTTGTCGAACCTAAGAATGCTGACAAGGTATGCAAACTCCAGCGCTCCATCTATGGGCTGGTGCAAGCATCTCGGAGTTGGAACATTCACTTTGATGAAATGATCAAAGCGTTTGGGTTTATACAGACTTATGGAGAAGCATGTATTTACAAGAAAGTGAGTGGGAGCTCTGTAGCATTTCTCATATTATATGTGGATGACATATTGTTGATGGGAAATGATATAGAACTTTTGGAAAGCATAAAGGCCTACTTGAATAAGTGGTTTTCAATGAAGGACCTTGGAGAAGCTGCTTACATATTAGGCATCAAGATCTATAGAGATAGATCGAGACACCTCATTGGTCTTTCACAAAGCACATATCTTGACAAGATATTGAAGAAGTTCAATATGGATCAGTCCAAGAAGGGGTTCTTGCCTATATTGCAAGGTGTGAAATTGAGCGCAGGCGCAGCTCAATGCCCGACCTTGGCAGAAGATAGAGAAAAGATGAGTGTCATCCCCTATGCCTCAGCCATAGGCTCTATTATGTATGTCATGTTGTGTACCTGACCTGATGTGAACCTTACCATAAGTTTGGTAGGGAGGTACCAAAGTGATCCCGGAATGGAACACTGGACAGCGGTCAAGAATATCCTAAAGTACCTGAGAAGGACTAAGGATATGTTTCTCATTTATGGAGGTGCTGAAGAGCTCGTCGTAAAGGGTTACATCGATGCTAGCTTTGACATAGATCCGGATGACTCCAAGTCACAAACCGGATACGTGTATATTTTGAATGGTGGGGCAGTCAGCTGGTGCAGTTGCAAGCAAAGCGTCGCAGCGGGATCTACATGTGAAGCGGAGTACATAGCTGCTTCGCAAGCAGCACAAGATGTAGTCTGGATAAAGGAGTTTATCACCGACCTAGGAGTGATTCTCAATGCATCAGGCCCGATGACAGTTATGACCGGTTTGGTCTATAACCGGAAGAGGCCCACCAGGCATTAGTATTAGGGGCTTGACCCACAAGTTATCTTAGGCAAATTATCTTAGGCTAAAGATATAAATACTAGTTGTAAGACATCGTTTGAGATCAAGCAATAAAGATATTATCATCTTCTGTTGCCCGGCTCCCTGAGGAGCCGGAACCCTAGCCGCCACCAGCCAACCGTCACCGCACCTAAACCCTAGCCGCGACGGCGCCCACTCGCCGGCGCGCCCGCTCCAGCCCTCACCCACCTCCTCCTTGTCCCTATAACCTGCGTAGCCGCACTGGTAGGAACCCCAATCCTACCAATTTGGTATCAGGTACCCGGGTTTTGACCAGGTCTTCGCCACCTCCAATTCCGCCACCGCTGCCACCGCCGCCGCTGCTCGTCAACTCCACCACCGCCGCTGCCGCCAACTCCTCCACCGCCGCTGCTTCCGCGCCGGGCGTCACGGACTCGCTCTCGGCGGGCGCCACGGCGTCGCTCTCGGCGCCGTCCCTCCCAGTGCACGGCACCGTGCCGGGCCACGGGCGGCCACCGGCCCTCGTCCAACATACTCCGCCGCCGTCACCTCCCCCGCAGCCGCAGCAGTTCACACAGGAGTCAATGGCCGGCGTCCTCAACGACCTCGTCGCCACGGTCCAGGGCATCCGCCTCTACCTGGCAAGTCCGTACGGGCCGCCTCCACCACTCCATCCAGCCATGGCCGCGAATCCGCAGGCGCTGCCGTGGTACTCGGTACCGGGAGCCATCACCGGAGGCTACCCGGTGCTCCCCGCCCTGGCGGCCGCACCGCCGCCTTGGCCACAGTGGCCGCCGCTGCTCGCGACGGCAACCGCGTGATCAATTGTAGGTACAGTGGGGTTTTTATGCCCCAAACTACGGATGCCGTGTTCTCCACAGGGACTAGACGACGGTGACTATGCTCTGGCTAAAGGTAGGTGACAGAATTTAGTTGATGAGAACAGAAAGTAAACCTAAACTATCAATGATTGTCACCAAACAAAATTGTGGATAACCAACAAGGGAGAATCAGATTTTACTCAATGTCTTTTTGGTATTTTCATCACACTTGAGAATCTAAAACACTAACACAAAGGGGAATAATATGACAAGGACACATATATAACTATCATACATGAACAAAGGGAAGAAACAATACAAAGACATATGAAGAATACTGTTTCACTAAACAAAGTATAACAGGTCAAATATTTCTCAAAGTGACAAGATATCAACTAGTCAACACAAAGGACATACTAATCAAGCATTGATATTGAACTTCGAAACTGAACCAAACAGTAGGATATTACACTTAACAAATCTGAATATTACATGTAATAAAACATCTCAATGCTGAATATTACAAAGTACTGAACAATAAACTTCTCAAAGTTACAGAAATTTGAGAGAGAGAGAGAGAGCAGCAGCAGCAGCAGCAGCAGGTAGGTTCAGAGAAGAAGAGTAGCAAGGGAAGTAGAGAGAGATAGCAGCAGGGGGTTGGGAGCAGCAGCAGGAGACGCTGGAGAAGCAGAAAGGGGCGCTGGAGAGAGGAAGAGCAGCAACAGGTTGGGAAAGAAGCAGGGGCGTGAGGAGAGAAGCAGCAGCAGTTTTATGGTTCAGAAAAGAGGCAAAGAAGCAGAGGAAGTGGGGATAAGAGGGCAACAGCAGGAAGGGAAAGGGAGTAGCAGAGACGTGGAGAGGAGCAGCAGATCGGCGCAAGAGGAGGAGCAAGAGCAGTGAGGCAAGGGAAGAAGAGCAGCAGCATCGAGATTCAGAGAAGAAGAAGGGGAGCAGAGGAAGTGGAGTAGCAGCAGTAGGGACGAGGGGGGAAGCAGCAGCAATTGGAGGCGCGCGGGGGATCAGACACCTCGTCTGGTCGGGCGCGCAAGTGATGGTGGTGAAGGGGTGGCGCTGATGGATGGTGCAGCGGCGCGAGGTGGTGATGGAGTGGATGGATGGTGGTGTATGGAGGTGCTGGTGGATGGAGGGCGCGGTGAAGGTGGAGGCGCGGTGGAGCGGTGGCGCGCCCCACGCCGGCCTGGCTGCAGCGGCAGCCGGTGGTGGAGAAGGTGGGGTGAGGGAGATGGAGATGCCAGGCCCGATTTGGGAATCAGGGCGTCTAGGGATTTTGACCTCCTCTGATCTGCCATTTTTTCACTTTGGCCCTCCTGCTTCCTTTCTTCTCAAGATGATCCTCCAACATTAGCTTGCCCCTGGATACTTCTTTTCTTCTCGCTCGGGTCCCTCGTTCTCTCGTTCCAGCCCCAAGTCTCATCGCGTTTGGCAATCGACTGAATCTTGAAGTTTATAGTGCCTTCTCGCACTTTTCTGCAAAAGAAACAATTCACTAGTCAACATGCTCTTATATGATTATCATTCAAATATTCAGTATTTCATAGCAAAAATTAATGTCAGAACTCAACAAATGGTATATTTGTATGCCAAAATTATATATATGAAATGTGCTTATCAAGTTCCCCCACACTTAAATCTTTACTTGTCCTCAAGTAAAGGCATATGACAAGAGCTAGACAGTCAACAGTGAGCTGACTGGAGAATGCCAAGTGAAGTAGATCTCTAAACAATGCATGCTTTGGACTTAGCTAGTGCAAATCAATGGTCAAGAGTGCTACAAAGCAATAGGATACTAGTAGACTCAATCATTTTAAACTTTTACAATGATAAAAGTGGATCAACAAGTTCAAATGATGATTGTGCCAAAGGTTCCTAAAGAGAGCATGATCCCGAGCACAAAAAAGAACATAAACTTGTGATCAAATCACTTATTTACAGAAGTAAAGCAATGATAATATTTTATCGATCTCACCAAAGGAACATACCACCGATCCCGAGAACATGGTATACACCTGGATCGACCAATTATTAGTTTAGTTTTTTTTGTTTGTCTCCCCAAAGGAACATACCACCGATCCCGAGAACATGGTATACACCTGGTTCGACAATTACATTTTTTTATTATTAATTACTGCCCAAGCTAACCCGATTTCACATGCCACCGATCCCAGGAACATGACATGCTACTGTAGGTAGTCAGACTTATTTATTCATTATTACTTATCTTAAATGAACAACGCATAAGCACAAAAATAGGAATCATCACTTCTCCATGTCTGGTTCACATGCTACCGATCCAGGGAACATAGCATACTAATCCATAGTGCTTAGGTGATTGCTCTCAATGGGAACACATTAGGCACAAACTCAGCACCTGACACTTAATGATCTAGGTGTATCGAGGTAAAAGCAGAAAATGATTAAGTTTTCTAGTGTACTAGGGATTTGAGCACTCAAAACTAATAACTTTCACTAATTTCAGCAAAGCAAGCAGTATGTAGATCACTAGTTTACAAGGCATTCACGATTCAGTTCACATATTCACATCAAGCATCATATGTCAAAGGTAAAATTCAGTGGGACGACATTTAAGAAATGGCTCAAGCAACCCAAATATCAAATGATTTCAGCATGTATCAATGGATGATATATTAAGATTCGGGTCATGAAACAGCTCACCGGGTTTATATAGGAAGTAGCACTCGCTCAACGCTCTCTATACTGCAGCTCTTCTCTTTTTGCTTCTCTATCCCCATGCCTGCTCCAGCTTCACTCCTCTTCGCGTGTGCCCATTGCTTCTCCTCATCACCATGCCGTGAATCCACCAGGATCCCAGGGAATGTCATCTCGAACTCGGTCAACTCGCAGTAAATGGTACACAAGCATCAACCTGAAAGAACACTCAACAACCAAGCCAATACAAGTGACAGAGAGAATGCCCTCTAAGTCATCGATAGAGTACCCTATCATATAAGTATATCTATTGAGCAAGTCAGGAACATGTATCAACAACAAGTCACATGGTGCATAGGCAGTATCCATGATATGGCATATCTTGTCGAGAAAGCTGAGATCATACCTGAGATAGTTAGGAAGAAGCTTCAGGACTACCTCCATTGAAGATACCAAGTGAGGTGTGGTAGTAGAAATTTCCACCTGATTCGTGTCAACAAGTGAAATAGAGCTTGACTCCTTGACATCTGAATCCACCTCACCATAATCAACCATGAAGCTCTCCATCTCAGGCTCAAGTGTTGAAGAATCAATGCGGCTAACATCATCAAAGGCGAACTTCTCCATATCTGGCTCTAGCAGCACATGATCAATATCAACTAAAGGTGACTCCTCAATATCAAAAGCAACTAACTGCAGCTCCGGCTCATCCATGGAAGAATCATCACAATGCAAAACTGAATCTCCAACACTAGTATCCATGTGATCTGTAGCGCGTGTGTCAACTAGAATGGTGTCATCATCGTCAAAGATAATCCATGCAAGCTCAATCTTGTCACACTGAGATAGAGGTTCAGGATTTTGTGTAAGAATTGGCGGCTGAGGTGTAGTGATTTGTTGCAAGCAAACCAATGAATCAGAGGTGGGCTTATCATTGTACCGCTGAAGTTGGTGGAAAGTTATGCTCTCAATCAGCAGAAAAGCATCATCAAGTGTCTTGTTTGTAATAGCTCCGCCCGCTGCCATATCGACGTAAGCTCGAGTGTCCCAAGTCAATCCTCTATAGAATATCTGCAGCTCTAACCATCTCTCGAGCCCGTGGTTAGGACATCTCCTGAATAAAGCCTTGTATCTCTCCCAAGCATCATACAAGCTCTCGCCTTCACGCTGAACGAAGCTGAGGATCTCATCTCGAATTGCGGACTGCTTGTGTAGTGGGAAATATTTATCCAAGAAAGCTTGTGATATCTCGTTCCAACTGAATGATCTTGATGGCAAGGATCGATACCAAGCACGAGCATCATCCCGGAGAGAGAATAAGAACATCATGCACTTGATAGCATCTTGAGGAACTCCATGGTACTTGACTGTACCTGAATACTCCATGACTCGGTATAAGTGCTCATAGGGATCCTCAGTGGGCAGTCCTCCAAACTGTTGTTGTTGAACCAAAGCAATAAGACCAGGCTTCATCTCAAAATTCTCTGCCTCAATAGTTGGCCAAACCGGTCCTGTGATATAACATTGACTACTTGGCATCCAAAGATCACGACGCAATGCCATATCTTAACCAAGTGTAACTATAGAACAACCAGCAAAGATTTATGATTCCCTACACACACTCATAAACAGTAAACACTAGTCAGAAGGTTAGTATCCTAATAAGCCGAAGCAACAATGGGGGAAAGTAGAGGAAAAACACTGAAGATGAAATACACGACGAATTGAACAAGGAACTAAAGTAAATCTAGTCTATAGCCTAACACGGTCACTCGACGCTAGTCCCCGGCAACGGCGCCAAAATTGATCAATTGTAGGTACAGTGGGGTTTTTACGCCCCAAACTATAGATGTCGTGTTCTCCACAGGGACTAGACGACGGTGACTATGCTCTGGCTAAAGGTAGGTGACAGAATTTAGATGATGAGAACAGAGAGTAAACCTAAACTATCAATGATTGTCACCAAACAAAATTGCGGATAACCAACAAGGGAGAATCAGATTTTACTCGATGTCTTTTTGGTATTTTCATCACACTTGAGAATCTAAAACACTAACACAAAGGGGAATAATATGACAAGGACACATATATAACTATCATACATGAACAAAGGGAAGAAACAATACAAAGACATATGAAGAATACTGTTTCACTAAACAAAGTATAACAGGTCAAATATTTCTCAAAGTGACAAGATATCAACTAGTCAACACAAAGGACATACTAATCAAGCATTGATATTGAACTTCGAAACTGAACCAAACAGTAGGATATTACACTTAACAAATCTGAATATTACATGTAATAAAACATCTCAATGCTGAATATTACAAAGTACTGAACAATAAACTTCTCAAAGTTACAGAAATTTGAGAGAGAGAGAGAGAGAGAGAGAGAGCAGCAGCAGCAGCAGCAGGTAGGTTCAGAGAAGAAGAGTAGCAAGGGAAGTAGAGAGAGATAGCAGCAGGGGGTTGGGAGCAGCAGCAGGAGACGCTGGAGAAGTAGAAAGGGGCGCTGGAGAGAGGAAGAGCAGCAACAGGTTGGGAAAGAAGCAGGGGCGTGAGGAGAGAAGCAGCAGCAGTTTTATGGTTCAGAAAAGAGGCAAAGAAGCAGAGGAAGTGGGGATAAGAGGGCAACAGCAGGAAGGGAAAGGGAGTAGCAGAGACGTGGAGAGGAGCAGCAGATCGGCGCAAGAGGAGGAGCAAGAGCAGTGAGGCAAGGGAAGAAGAGCAGCAGCATCGAGATTCAGAGAAGAAGAAGGGGAGCAGAGGAAGTGGAGTAGCAGCAGTAGGGACGAGGGGGGAAGCAGCAGCAATTGGAGGCGCGCGGGGGATCAGACACCTCGTCTGGTCGGGCGCGCAAGTGATGGTGGTGAAGGGGTGGCGCTGATGGATGGTGCAGCGGCGCGAGGTGGTGATGGAGTGGATGGATGGTGGTGTATGGAGGTGCTGGTGGATGGAGGGCGCGGTGAAGGTGGAGGCGCGGTGGAGCGGTGGCGCGCCCCACGCCGGCCTGGCTGCGGCGGCAGCCGGTGGTGGAGAAGGTGGGGTGAGGGAGATGGAGATGCCAGGCCCGATTTGGGAATCAGGGCGTCTAGGGATTTTGACCTCCTCTGATCTGCCATTTTTTCACTTTGGCCCTCCTGCTTCCTTTCTTCTCAAGATAATCCTCCAACATTAGTTTGCCCCTGGATACTTCTTTTCTTCTCGCTCGGGTCCCTCGTTCTCTCGTTCCAGCCCCAAGTCTCATCGCGTTTGGCAATCGACTGAATCTTGAAGTTTATAGTGCCTTCTCGCACTTTTCTGCAAAAGAAACAATTCACTAGTCAACATGCTCTTATATGATTATCATTCAAATATTCAGTATTTCATAGCAAAAATTAATGTCAGAACTCAACAAATGGTATATTTGTATGCCAAAATTATATATATGAAATGTGCTTATCACCGCGCCACTCGCCGCCACCATGGGGCCGCAGTGGCCCACCTGGACCGCGCCGGCCGCGCCGTCTCCCGCCATGCCGTCCCTTCCAGCAGCCACGGAGCAGGGTCCTCCACCGCCCCATCCCAGCCCTAACCTGGGTCGGTCATCACCGAGCGGGCTTCCGATCCAGGAGGTTCGCTTTCCGTCATCGCCATCGCCACTCCCCGACTGGCTTCACGGGCCGCCATCGGCCTACCCGGGGGGCCGCCCGCCGTCCGGTTTCCCGTTGCAGCCCGAGGCGTCGGGCGCCACCGGGAACTACGCCGGGCCTTCCACCATGGACCGCGCACCATCATTCACCCTACGCACAGCCGAGGCAGTGGGCCAGGGCGCGCCACACCAGCAGCCGCCCCGGTTCGCCAAGATCGACTTCGCCACATACGACGGCTCCGACGACCCGCTTAACTGGCTCAACCAGTGTGACCAGTTCTTCCGCGGACATCGCACACCCACGTCGGAGCATACTTGGTTGGCTTCCTACCATCTCCGCGGGGCCGCCCAGACATGGTACTACGCCCTCGAGTAGGACGAGGATGGCATGCCCCCGTGGGATCGTTTCCGAGAGCTGTGCCTTCTTCGTTTCGGGCCACCGATCTGTGGGAGCCGCTTGGCCGAGTTGGGCCACCTGCCGTTCACCTCCATGGTGCAGGACTTCACCGACCGCTTCCAGGCCCTGGCGTGCCACGCGCCCGGTGTGACGGCCTTACAGCGGGCAAAGCTTTTCATCGGCGGCCTTCCCAACTACATCTGCGTGGACGTCGAGATGAAGGGGCCTCAAGACCTTCAGACGGCCATGTACTATGCCCGGGCGTTCGAGCAGCGCGCCCAGGCCTTATTGCGTCCATCTGGCCACGTGGGGGCCGACAGCTTCCCCGGCCATCTCCGGCAGCACCGGCGTCGTCCACAGCCACCCCGACACCCACCACGGCACCGACGCGGCCACTCAGGCGGAACAGCTGGAACGCCGGCGCCTGGGCTTGTGCTTCAACTGTGATGCACCCTATGCACCGGGCCATGTCTGTCCCCGCCTCTTCTACTTGGAGACGACAGACGAGACTGAGGAGGACACACTGGAGGATGGCCTCGGCGCTCCAGCCCTTGCGGAGCCTCCAGCGGCACCCGCGCCCGCCCCGGTCACTGCCCTTGTGGTGTCCCTACACGCGTTGGCCGGCATCCGTGATGAACGGACGATGCTCTTACCGGTCATGATCCAGGGCGAGCGCCTGGTGGCCCTAGTGGATACAGGGTCCATGCATAACTTCCTGCCGGAGACCACCATGTGGCGCCTTGCATTACAGCCAACCGGCGGTGAGCAGTTGCGAGTCACAGTCGCTAATGGCGACCGTCTATGCTGCCACGGGCTCGCCCGCGACGTGCCCATCACTATCGGCGACGAGCACTTCACCATCACCTGCGCCGGCATCGACTTGGGCTGCTTCGACTTCATCCTCGGCGTCGACTTCTTGCGTACTCTTGGTCCTATTCTATGGGATTTCGACGCACTGATGATGACCTTCTGGCGGTTGGGCCGCCGCATTCGGTGGAACGGCATTGGGGGTGCCGCCCCAACCACTCCACTCCAGCTGGCCGCGACCACCGCCATGGCCGAGCACCCACTATTGGAGAGCCTCCTCCAGCAGCACGCGAACATCTTCACCGAGCCACAGGGGCTGCCACCCGCCCGCACGTACGATCACCGTATACACCTTCTGCCAGGCTCCGTGCCGGTGGCGGTACGGCCTTACCGCTACCCATAGTTGCAAAAGGATGAGTTGGAGCGGCACTGTGCGCTCATGCTCGCGGAAGGCATCATCCGGCTCTCCACTTCGCCATTTACCGCGCTGGTGCTTCTCGTCCGGAAGTCAGACGGCACATGGCATTTCTGCATCGACTATCGTGCCCTTAATGTTGTCACACTTAAGGACAAGTTCCCTATTTTGGCGGTCGACGAGCTCCTCGATGAGCTCCACGGGGCGCGCTTCTTCACCAAACTCGACCTTCGGTCGGGGTACCACCAGGTGCGCATGCACCCGGATGACATCGCCAAGACGGTGTTTCAGACTCATCACGGCCACTTCGAGTTCTTGGTGATGCCCTTTGGCCTCACCAACGCTCCGGCGACATTCCAGGCTCTGATGAACGATGTCCTCAGGCCCTACTTATGCCGGTTTGTGCTCGTTTTCTTTGATGATATTCTGATCTACAGTGCGTCTTGGGCCGAGAACCTCCAGCACGTCGCCATCGTCTTCAACGAGCTTCGAGCGCACCACCTCCACCTTAAGCGCTCGAAGTGCTCGTTCGGGACGCCTTCGGTGGCCTACTTGGGCCACATCATCTCGGCCGACGGGGTGGCTATGGACGCCGACAAGGTGGCAGCCGTCTCCCATGGACGACGCCTCACTCGCCACGGGCTCTCCGCAGGTTCCTCGGCCTCGCCGGCTACTACCGGAAATTTATCCGGGAGTTCGGGCTCATCATGGCGCCCCTCACGCGGTTGCTTCACCGCGACGCTTTCGCCTGGGACGACGAGGCGACGATGGCGTTCGAGGCCCTCAAGGGGGCCCTCACGACGGGCCCCGTCCTCTAGATGCCTGACTTCGACCACCCGTTCGTGGTGGACTGTGACGCCTCGGGCGCAGGGTTCGGCGCCGTGCTTCATTAGGGCGATGGGCCCCTCGCCTTCTTCAGCCGGCCTTTCGCTCCGTGTCATCTTAAGCTAGCGGCATACGAGCGGGAGCTCATTGGCCTTGTACAGGCCGTTCGTCATTGGCGGTCGTACTTGTGGGGACGGTCCTTCCACATTCGCACCGACCACTACAGCCTGAAGTTTTTGCTGGACCAACGGCTGTCGACTGTGCCGCAGCACCAGTGGATCAGCAAGCTCTTCGGCTTCAACTTCTCCG